CTACCTTGTACCCTTCTCCATCACCATTTTAACACAGATCTCCAGGGCCCGGCTGGCCACAGGCGTTTGCTTTTGTGTGACAGCCCCAGGGCCTGCTTTGACCCCCTCAGCCCTGCGTCCATCACAACCCACGTCACTGCTGTATTTCGTGCTCTCTCCTCTCACAGCCAGAAAGCCCTATAAATACACCAATACTCAGCTGTTGAAATAATTTGCTTATGTGTGTCCCCTGTTGAGAATCATAAACTGAAACCAAACCACTCAAACCCCCATAAATCACTTCCCCTGCAGACAAGATCTGCAGTTACCCTGACGGGCTTCACAAGCGTGTGCTGAAGGAGGAAGAACCTCGGCAAGGAGCCCTGAAGCCACCGGTGGAGAAAGGAGAAAGAGACGTGAGCAAGGACAGGAGCCTTCCACAGACAGCCATGGAGGAGGCACAACAGCTCCAGAGCGATGCAAGGGGCAGACCTGGGGGGGGGCAGATTGAGCAGTGCCTGTACAGAGCAGGGAGGTGATCTCTTCCCTGTGAGGGTGCTGAGGTGCTGGCACAGGGTGCCCAGAGAAGCTGTGGCTGCCCCATCCCTGGCAGTGCTCAAGGCCAGGTTGGACACAGGGGCTTGGAGCAAGCTGCTCCAGTGGAAGGGGTCCCTGTTGGAGCTGGATGGGCTTTAAGGGCCCTTGAACCCAAACCAGGCTGGGGTTCTGTGATTCTGATATTTAAGTTCCTACTTCACGCTGCCCCCATTTCAGAGGGCTGAGGGGTCAGCACTAGAACGCAGAAAGTCCTCTGCGAGGGGAGACTCTCACAATCCCCATGGATTCACATCCTGGTTAGGAACAGGAGCCCACTCCCTGGAATACCCATCCTTGCAACTCATTCACTCTTCCCAAAGGCACCTCAGCCCTGCATGATCCCAGTCCCCCCCAGTCACACTCTGCATTGCCCCGTTGCAGACAAGCAGGGCCGGGCTGCCCGTGATGCACCATGGCCAAACCCATGTCCAGGCTGTGCCGGGCGTTCAACTGGAGCTGCAGTGGGTGCCGGTAGCGGAGCCATGGTGCTGCAGTGTGGTGGGAGAGCAGCATGGCGAGGGCTGGGGGATGAGCTGCGGCAGCCCCAGCACGGGGCAGTGGGGACAGGCTGAGAGCAGAGGGAGGGAACTGACCCGGGAGCACCCAATGCATGTGGGGTTTGCCACAAAAGCCGGGAAGGGGCAGGGAGAAGGAGCCGGTGTGATGGGCCCTGCGGGACGAGCTCAGGAACAGGGGAACGGAAGGAGGGGAGTTCTGATTTTAACTGAATCCTCTCATTTCATCCCAGGGGCCATTTAAACGTTGCACCGAGGTTGCTTTTCCCACTCACAGAGTCCCAGAGCCATACATATCCCCGTTATTGGATGTTCTCCACCAGAACGTGCCTGCTCACACAGTGCATCAGAGGGATGCTCACTACCGTGATCCCCAACCACTGCCACCCCTGGGGGGTCTCAGACCCTTCCCCATTGCTCATGCTGTGACCAAGCACCCCCTGCCTGAAAACCTGGTGGCATTCCCCATGGCATCATCCCTCCTGCTGTATTAGAGAGCAGCATCCCATCCATCAGCACCTCCAGGCTGCATCCCAGAACTCCCCAGCAACACTCAGACCTGATTGATGACTGATTCAGTCCATTTATAGCCTTGGAGGGTGAGGAACAGTTACAGGTTTCTCTCCTTGGCAGGTCACTGCTCAGGTACCCGCAGGGATCCCACCATCGCTGTGCTCCACTGCCCTTTGCTCCCTGAGCATCACCTCTGGGCTAAACCTGGACTTCATGGACCCCCCTGCATCCCTCCCCACCAGCACTGCAGCACAGGGCACTCTGCCCTGCACCTCCCTGGTGCCTCATCCTCCCTCACACCAGCACACAGTAGATCCTGGGTCACTCCATGGTCCGTGCCACCGGATCCCACAGCCTGAGGCTCCCCTGTGCCCAGGAGTGGGTCTGACCATCCACCAGCCCCAGTTCCCCATTCCTTGCTCCCAGACCGGCACAGCCCTGGTACTGCTTTCCTCTCCCAGCCTGGGGAGGGATTTTGCCAGCTGCAAGTTAAAACCAACATCCTGGGCCTTTAAACCATCTGTAGGGCTGCGATGCTGCGATGCTGCTCAAGGCTCCCTGCAGTCCCCAGGCCGCAGGACACCCCTTGCTCCAGGTCAGCATCCCGCCGGCCTTTGGCGCTCCAGCACCCTCTGATCCCTTTTCATCCCAGGAACGAGCCTCAAGAAGTTGCACCTGAACTCTCCACAAGCTTTTCCTTGCCCTGCCCAAAGGAGCAACCCGAGCAGTGCCCATCTCCCCCATCCCCTGCTGTGGAATGAGACATGCCCAGGGAAGGAAGGAAGGAAGGAAGGGTGGGAGATGAGGCTTTCCTTCCCCCTTGAGAAGGTTCACAGTGATCCAGGATCTAAGCAAACAAGAGGCCTCAACCCCCACAGACACCTTCCCTTTCCCAAGCCTGGGATACTTTGTGGAGAGCACAGTTCAGGTGCTCAGAGGAGCGGGGCGATGGTGACGGGATGAGGGCACCGCAGAGGCTTTGTGCTTGCCAAAGGTTTTACACATGATGGATGCTTGCACGTTGTTTTCATTAGAAATAGGTTCCTGTCCCTCCCGTGCTGGGCAGAGCTGAGGGCAAAGACCAGGGGAATTTAAAACTCTGTTTCTCCCCCTCAATTTAAAGTCTGGGGGGGAAAACCCCTGTGTTACACATTGGGAACGCAGGGAGGGATCCCGCTCCTCCATCCAAACCAGCGCAGGAAGAGCCCCCGAGCTTCTCAGACACAGAAACGGCTCCAGCAGGAGCATCTTTCCCGGCTGAATTCCTGCCCCACGCCTGGGGACAGGAGGGTGTTTTTAGGGACAGACTAAGGATGAGGCAGGTCCCTCAGCCAGCACAAACAGCACCATGACACGTGAGGGAGGAGGAGAGCTGTGCATGGTGCTGGGGAGGAAAACGTGGGACAGGGACAAAGGGAAAAGCCTCATCACCAGATACAGTCCTCTGCCCCCAAGGTCAAGCTCAGGGACCTCCATGGGGACCACAACTCCTCCTGAGGGCTCCTGGCACATCCCAGCACCACCCTTCACCAACCACACTGCGCCAGGTATGCCCCGGGGCGGTATCTGGGTTGCCTCATGTGCTGCCCCTCGTGCTGGTGTGTCCCTGCTGGCAGGGACAGGAGCTGCCCTCACGGGTCAAGGGGACCCAAAACCAACGGAGGGAATACGACACTTCCAGCTGCACGCAGAGCAGGATGGTGGCAGCGCTCCTCCCTCTTCACACCATGTTTCCTGAACCAGTTTAGGAGCAAAAAACCTTTGGATTGAGGCCCAATGAAACCAACTGGAAACAGGGGACTGGAGGCCAAACCCAACCCTGCCAACGCCACACAGAACAGAGGCAGGGAAGATGTTCCAAATCCCTCTGCTGCAGGTGCCCACCTCTGATCCCCCAGTCATCTCCCAGGTTCAGGCTGGGGACATGTCCCAGTGGGCAGCAGAGCTCAGGTCATTGTGGTCTCAGTTACCAGTTCAGAGGGATGGGATGGCATTGCTGTTCAAGAGGGCATCCATGGAAGCCCTTTGCGCAGAGCCAGACTGGGCTCTGTTGGGGTTGGCTCTCAGCAAGGGGGATGCACAGGGGTCTGGTCCCAGCCCTGCAGCCCACAACCCCAGGCCCTCCAAGGGGATGCTGAGAGGAGAGCCCCTGGGAAAGCCAAGGCTGAGGAGCTGTCTCCAAGCTCAGACCCATTTGTTAAACTTGTGAGGCCAGCCCAGGGTACCTGCAGCAACCATGCTGAGACCAGCAGCACCGGAACATGCAGCAGCACCGGAACATGCAGCAGCACCGGAACGGCTCCGAGCAGCTGGTGGAGACCCCACCGAGCCGGGTTTGGGACCATGGTGTGGGACTCCGTGAGCTCACCCACTGCTGGACCAAGGCTGGGAGCCGGCAGGAGGTCAGGCTTTGGGATGTGCCTTCCCCTCCCATCCCAGCCCTGCCTGCCCACACAGCGTGCAAGGAAACGACTAATGATTGACTTCTTAATTAATTATAACTAATTTAACCAGAGCATCCTGTTGATTACAGGAGCTGCACCAACAGAGTTTCCCGAGCAGGGCCGCAGCAGACAAAGCAGCCCCCGGCCCAGCAGCGGTGCTGTGCCCCCTTCCGTGAGATCCCCCTGGGGCCATCGTGGGGCTCCAGCCCCGGGAGCTCTCAGGGTGCTTCTGTAATGGACCTGCCCGGTGGGGACAGGGCAGTGGGGACCCCCAGAGCCACCCCCAACCCAGTTCATTCCAGCCCCCGCCCCTGCTGCTGTGTGTGTGTGTGGGGGTCACACTGGGACCGCCGGTCCCCTCTGCCTCGAAACTGCCCCTGGCCTTGGGGTGAGGTCCAGGCGGGGCTCCCGGGCTCTGTCCCAGCCCTGAAGGGGGAGAAGCAGGGGCCGAGGACATTGGGGGCACCCCAGGCTGCTGTGGGCGCCCCTATGACACCCCCCGGGAACCCCCCCGGTTGATACCCACGTGGCCTCTCGGTGCCCAGGGAAACGGGAGGGGTTGGTTCGGGGGGGCTCCCCTGTCCCCTGTCTCCCGGTACCGGCCCCGCGGCCGGGCCCCCCCCCCCCCGCAACTTCCCCGGCCCCGCGGCCGCGGAGAAACTTTTGCGAGCGGCGACCGCGAAACTTGGCGGGGAGCGGGCACGTGCGGGGCGGGCACCGCCACCGGGACCCCCCCGGGGTGCGCGTCTGTGCGCGCTTCCCGCTCCCGTCCCGTCCCTCCCGCCGCCATCGCGCCCGGCTCCGCTCGCGGGAGGAGGTGGAAGGGAACGGGAAGGCGGCGGCTCCCCGGGGCCGCGGACCGGCGGGGGGAGGGAATGGGGGGGTTGGAGGGGTGCCCGTTCTGCTGCCCCCCTCCCCGGTTGGAGCGGGGGGTCCCGCGGCCAGGACTCACCGTGCGCTCCGCGGGGCGGCGGCGGCGGCGGGTGCGGGCCCGGCGCTGGGTGCGCAGGAAGGAAGCGGGAGGGACCGCGGCTGACGTGAGGGATGCGGAGCAGCGGCTCCTCCTCGCCCGGCCCCGCCGGCCGCCCTTTATCTCCCCGCCGTGCCCCCGCGCCCCTCCCGGCTCCCCGAGCACCGTGACCCCCCTCCCGCACCCCCTCGCCGGATCCGGGTGCGGGGAACAAAGCTGCAGGGCGCGGCTCGGCTGTCGGTAATGGGGATGGGGCTGTCCAATGGGCCCCCCCAAACCATCCCCTTCGTGGTCCTACCGGAGGCTCCTCGCCCCTTGGTTTGCGAGGGGATCTCCCCATAAAAGGATGCTTGGGAAGTCACGCTGCATCCAGGGGGAACCTGGTGGGCATCAACGGTGATAGGAGTATGGGAACCATAATGTGCGCCCCAGAAACCTTAGGGGGGTCACAGCAACTGGAAACGGCCTCCCCCAAGAAAGGGATGAGTGGGATTTGGAATGTTGGGGTGCTGGGGGGATGCTGGGCACCCCCAGATGCTGTATGGGGCTATGGTAGGTGGGAAAAGGTGGCAGGTCTGGGGCTGTACCGAGGGTCTGGGAGCAGCACCCTGGCTCCCCCTGCGAGGAGGACGAGGGCCTACGCCTTGGGATGAAGGTGCACGCCGAGACCGCTAGATTGGGCTGGAGCGGAGAGAGGATGCAGATTCTCATCTCCATGGAAGCAGGAGGAGCCGGACAGACGGATGGCAGCAGAGTTAGTGTGGAACCGCAGCCCTTTGTCTGGCAGCTGCTGCTCGGCTTCAGTTTGGGGTTTTCTTGCATTCTTAGGTGAAAATCACCTTCGAGCTGCCCGTGCCCGCCGCGTCCTGCACCCTCCAGCCACGCGTCCCCCGGCCCGTGGCTGTGCTGTGACCGGATGAGCAGAGACCAGGCCCGCTGGATGCAGCCCCTGCAGCCACCGTCCCCCCAGGTCGCAGCCGTGCCCCCCCTCGCGCCTCTCTGGGGCCCGGTCTGCCCCCAAAGGTGTGGGAGCACCGGGGGCTCGGACCCAGCCGCGGCGAGAGCCGCTCCTTTGGCGTCCCGGCGATGCTCCGGCCCCCCCGGAGGTTCGGGGCGGGCACAGGAGTGCCGGGCACTGGCGTGAGGCAGGAACGGGCTCGGCACGGACATGGGCAGTGCAAACCGGGGCGGTGGAGGTGGGAGCAGCCGGCAGCCAATCACGAGGGGGAGACTGCAGGAGTTACAGGAGCCTCAGCCAATGGGGACGTGCAGACACGATTCCGTCGCTGCGGCCGCTGATCCTAGAGGCACAGGGTCATTCCGCTTGGACAGCCCGTCGGGATGATCCAGTTCCCCCGTTCCAGCACTGCCAGGGCACCGCTGAGCCGTGTCACTGAGGCCTCGGCTGCGCCGTGTGCGCACACTTCAGGGTGACTCCAGCACTGCCCAGGGCAGCCTGTTCCAACCCGGACCCCTGGTGACCGCCCCCAGCGCCCCCAGCCCAGCGGGGCCAGCCTCCACCCCAGCGCTCACCGGGGAACAGCACCCACCTGGTGCAGCACATCACCCAGCACAGCCAATCAGAACACAGAGATTCAATCCTCACCCAGGACAGCCAATCAGAACACAGAGATTCAATCCGCAGCAGGTTCAGGCAATCAGGACACAGAGATTCAATCCGCAGCCATCTCGGGCAATCAGAAGGTGGGGACTTGATCCTCACACAGATCAGCCAGTCTGAAGGTGGGGGCGCAATCATCAGGCAGCTCAGGCAATCAGGACACAGAGATTCAATCCTCACCCAGCACAGCCAATCAGGACACAGAGATTCAATCCGCAGCCAGTTCAGGCAATCAGGACACAGAGATTCAATCCGCAGCCATCTCGGGCAATCAGAAGGTGGGGACATGATCTTCACACAGCACAGCCAATTAGGGCATAGAGATTCAATCCTCACCCAGGTCAGCCAATCAGAAGGTGGGGACTCGATCCTCACACAGATCAGCCAGTCTGAAGGTGGGGGCGCAATCATCAGCCAGCTCAGCCAATCAGGACACAGAGATTCAATCCGCAGCCAGCTCAGGCAATCAGGACACAGAGATTCAATCCGCAGCCAGCACAGCCAATCAGGACACAGAGATTCAATCCGCACCCAGCTCAGGCAATCAGGACACAGAGATTCAATCCGCAGTCAGCTCAGGCAATCAGGGCACAGAGATTGAATCTGCACCCAGCTCAGGCAATCAGGACACAGGGATTCAATCCGCAGCCAGCTCAGGCAATCAGGACACAGAGATTCAATGCGCAGCCATATCGGGCAATCAGAAGGTGGGGACATGATCTTCACACAGCTCAGGCAATTAGGGCATAGAGATTCAATCCTCACCCTTCACAGCCAATCAGGACACAGCGATTCAATCCTCACCCAGCACAGCCAATCAGGACACAGAGATTCAATCCGCAGCCAGCTCAGGCAGTCAGGACACAGAGATTCAATCCGCACCCAGCACAGCCAATCAGGACACAGAGATTCAATCCGCAGCCAGCTCAGGCAATCAGGACACAGAGATTCAATCCTCACCCAGCACAGCCAATCAGGACACAGAGATTCAATCCGCAGCCAGCTCAGGCAATCAGGACACAGAGATTCAATCCGCACCCAGCACAGCCAATCAGGACACAGAGATTCAATCCGCAGCCAGCTCAGGCAATCAGAGTGGACAATCTCACACAGCACAGCCAATTAGGGCATAGAGATTCAATCCTCACCCAGCTCAGCAATCAGACAACAACAGCCAGCTCAGCAATCAGGACACAGAGATTCAATCCTCACCCAGCACAGCCAATCAGGACACAGAGATTCAATCCGCAGCCAGCTCAGGCAATCAGGACACAGAGATTCAATCCGCAGCCAGCTCAGGCAATCAGGACACAGAGATTGAATCTGCACCCAGCTCAGGCAATCAGGACACAGAGATTCAATGCGCAGCCATCTCAGGCAATCAGAAGGTGGGGACACGATCTTCACACAGCACAGGCAATTAGGGCATAGAGATTCAATCCTCACCCAGCACAGCCAATCAGGACACAGAGATTCAATCCTCACCCAGCACAGCCAATCAGGACACAGAGATTCAATCCGCAGCCAGCTCAGGCAATCAGGACACAGAGATTCAATCCGCACCCAGCACAGCCAATCAGGACACAGAGGCTGAATCTGCACCCAGCTCAGGCAATCAGGACACAGAGATTCAATCCGCAGTCATCTCAGGTCAGACACAGAGATTCAATCCGCACCCAGCACAGCCAGTCAGGACACAGAGATTGAATCTTCACCCAGCTCAGGCAATCAGGACACAGAGATTCAATGCGCAGCCATCTCGGGCAATCAGAAGGTGGGGACATGATCTTCACACAGCACAGGCAATTAGGGTATAGAGATTCAATCCTCACCCAGCACAGCCAATCAGGACACAGCGATTCAATCCTCACCCACCACAGCCAATCAGGACACAGAGATTCAATCCGCAGCCACCTCAGGCAGTCAGGACACAGAGATTCAATCCGCACCCAGCACAGCCAATCAGGACACAGAGATTCAACCGCAGCCAGCTCAGGCAGTCAGGACACAGAGATTCAATCCTCACCCAGCACAGCCAATCAGGACACAGAGATTCAATCCGCAGCCAGCTCAGGCAATTAGGACACAGAGATTCAATCCTCACCCAGCACAGCCAATCAGGACACAGAGATTCAATCCGCAGCCAGCTCAGGCAATCAGGACACAGAGATTCAATCCGCAGCCAGCTCAGGCAATCAGGACACAGAGATTCAATCCGCAGCCAGCTCAGGCAATCAGGACACAGAGATTCAATCCTCACCCAGCACAGCCAATCAGGACACAGAGATTCAATCCGCAGCCAGCTCAGGCAATCAGGACACAGAGATTCAATCCGCAGCCAGCTCAGGCAGTCAGGACACAGAGATTCAATCCTCACCCAGCACAGCCAATCAGGACACAGAGATTCAATCCGCAGCCAGCTCAGGCAATCAGGACACAGAGATTCAATCCGCAGCCATCTCGGGCAATCAGAAGGTGGGGATAGAATCTTCACACAGCACAGCCAATTAGGGCATAGAGATTCAATCCTCACCCTCACAACACCAGCTCGCAATCAGGACACAGAGATTCAATCCTCACCCAGCACAGCCAATCAGGACACAGAGATTCAATCCGCAGCCAGCTCAGGCAATCAGGACACAGAGATTCAATCCTCACCCAGCACAGCCAATCAGGACACAGAGATTCAATCCGCAGCCACTCAGGCAGTCAGGACACAGAGATTCAATCCGCACCCAGCACAGCCAATCAGGACACAGAGATTCAATCCCAGCCAGCTCAGGCAGTCAGGACACAGAGATTCAATCCTCACCCAGCACAGCCAATCAGGACACAGAGATTCAATCCGCAGCCAGCTCAGGCAGTCAGGACACAGAGATTCAATCCTCACCCAGCACAGCCAATCAGGACACAGAGATTCAATCCGCAGCCAGCTCAGGCAATCAGGACACAGAGATTCAATGCGCAGCCATCTCGGGCAATCAGAAGGTGGGGACATGATCTTCACACAGCACAGGCAATTAGGGCATAGAGATTCAATCCTCACCCAGCACAGCCAATCAGGACACAGCGATTCAATCCTCACCCACCACAGCCAATCAGGACACAGAGATTCAATCCGCAGCCACCTCAGGCAGTCAGGACACAGAGATTCAACCGCACCACCAAAACCACCAGCTCAGGCATCAGGACACAGAGATTCAATCCGCACCAGCACAGCCAATCAGGACACAGAATTCAATCCGCAGCCACTCAGGCAATAGGACACAGAGATTCAATCCGCAGCAGCTCAGGCAATCAGGCACAGAGATTAATCCACCAGCCAGCAATCAGGCACAGAGATTAATCGCACCCAGCACAGCCAATCAGGACACAGAGATTCAATCCGCAAGCCAGCTCAGGATCCACAGCAGAGATTCAATCCGCACCCAGCACAACCAATCAGGACACAGAGACTGAATCTGCA